TTTTGCGCAGCTCGTCAGTGAACAACGGCTCTGTGTAGTTAATGCTGCTCAATGTGAAAGCCCGCAGGTGATGGAGATTTACCACTGATTACAGAACCGGCTTTACTGATAAGATGCGCGTTAAATATCGCATGCGATTTATCGTGCAGCCCTACTCTACAATATTTTTATTGGGTAGAAATTGTGAGTAAAATATCTTTTAAAAATCCTTATTGTTAATCCTTATCCAGTATATCAACAACTAGAAAAGTAATTGGGCATTGGAATATTTTTGTGGACAGTTGGGGGGGGCCTTGGAGTCAAAAAGTTTGAGAACATGTTTGACTGTTGCATATTTTGGAATGTCTCATGCATAGCTTCTAAAAATTTGGCGCTTAAAAGAAGTTCAGTTTTTAAAAAACACATCACACAGCACATTTTTAAAAGCAGAAATGTGTTCCATGTGAACGGCCCGTTTATTCACCTAATGATGTTTAAAGGATGGAGAAGAGCCAAATCTAGATGGGTTATGTTGTCAAACATATTATAATTTTTTTTAAAGTGTTGGTTCAGGTGTCTGGATCGCAGTGCGGTGATGCTGTACAGTCAAAACAAAGTATGCCAAATGCAAGAGGTCTGCTGCTTTTTTGGATGTCCGTTGCCTGATTTGCATAATTCCTTTAGTGAATTTGGTGCTAATACAAAACAGCGGCAGACGTGTGAAAATAATCAGTGCTATCAGTGGGTGAAATGTAATGTTAGTAATATTTCCCTAGGGTTTTCCCTCTGCTGTAATAATAAGGACAGCTGCCTTTTTGGACTGAGAGAGACAAGTCTTCCTCTTTCTATTCATCCCAGTGGCCAGCAATGATTAGTTAATCTCTCTCTCTCTCTCTCTCTCTCTCTCTCTCTCTCTCTCTCTCTCTCTCTTTCTCTCTCACTGTAAACACATAGGAAGGAACTGGGAGGATTTTTAGGAAGTGCCATTTAAAGACTTCCTTATTTCCCTTCCTCTTGTGAAGAGACAGAAATGAAAGGTGCAACACTCAGATAGATAATATTTCAAATGTGTTTTGTATAAAAGTCTGAGTAAACAGCTTTAGGGAGCATAAAGAGACCAGAATATGAGAGAGTGAAACGCCGCAGCTCCGGGGCACCGCAATCAGCTGCTTTTCTACAAGCTGGAATTGAAAGATTACTCAAGAAGTACAGAGCATCTGACATTACAGGTTAGTCATGAGGGAATTGGGAGGCTTCTAATCCCAGGATGGGGAGAGATGAGGTTGCAGTTTTCCTGTTATCTCACAGCAGCTGTGTGTTCAGTTTACAAAAATTATATAATAATTATTAAAAACATTTAATAATTATTAAATTCAAAAAATTAATTAAATGATGGTTAAATAAAAAACATTTGTTTCTGAATTGTCAGAGTACACATACAGTCTAGCCTCACTGAAAATGTTACAAAATAACATAATATTCATAAAATAAAAAAACGAAATATAAAACAAACAATATTTTTAATTGCCTAAGTACACAAAGTAAATTCAATTTAATAATATGAGTTGTGAAAATTAAGTGTGATCTGACCTCCACCAGTCCACTTGATGTTACATGGACGAATCGTTTCATTTACAGTATCAGTTACAGTGTTTCTCCAGCTGTTCATGCTTACTGTCTTAAGAGGAAGTGCCTGACATGTGGTTTGTGTTGCAACATGGAATATAAAAGTCATACTTTTAGTAGATAAAATCCTCACACTAATCCTAAGACTGACAACGGGGAATCAGACGTGGGTCAGAGACGGAAATTCACGGCAGACGAGGAAGCACATTGAAACAGCAAACAAAACCATGAGCTCACACAAACACACATTCACACACACAGACAGACAGACAGACAGACATATGACTCTCTCAATAACAGAGGGACTGTTATGTTTTGGGTATCATGGGATTTCACATCCCATTTGTTTGTGGAAGATAAACTGATGTATGCACATTCATTGATATTGAACAATAACATGTTGTTGATGGAGGGAATAGGGTTAAGCTGTTCAGTCTGAGCAGACAGATGTTCACATGGATGTGTATCATGGATCTAGTTGATGACTAAAGCTGTTTTCTTTTTTTAATATATTATTAAAATGTAATTTATTCCTGTGATGAAAAAGCTGAATTTTCAGCATCATTACTCCAGTCTTCAGTGTCACATGATCCTTCAGAAATCATTTTAATATGCTGATTTGATGCTCAAGAAACATTTCTTATTATTATCAATGTTGAAAACATTTGTGCAGCTTAATATTTTTGTGGAAACAGTGATAATTTTTTTTCTTTGATTAATAGAAAATTTGAAATAGTTCATTTGAAATAGAAATATTTTGTAACATTATAAATGTGTGATGAAAAAGCTGAATTTTCAGCATCATTACTCCAGTCTTCAGTGTCACATGATCCTTCAGAAATCATTTTAATATGCTGATTTGATGCTCAAGAAACATTTTTTATTATTATCAATGTTGAAAACATTTGTGCAGCTTAATATTTTTGTGGAAACAGCGATAATTTTTTTTCTTTGATTAATAGAAAATTCGAAATAGTTCATTTGAAATAGAAATATTTTGTAACATTATAAATGTCTTTACTCTCACTTTTGATCAATGTAATGCATTGTTGCTAAATAAAGATATGAATTAATTTAAAAAAATCTTACTGACCCCAAGATTTGGAATGGTGGTGTTGTATAAAGAAATGTGTTGCAAATTTTTAAATGCTTGTTTTTTTTGTTTTACCCTTGTCATGGACTTTCAATATGAAACTACATCATAAAATGTTGAATTATTACTTTTTTTTTTTTTACTGGAGGACATATTTCAGATAAAATATGACGTGATCAAAAATCTATGTAAATATTACTAGAATATTTTTACTGTGCATCATTTCTAATCAGACTGTGTTATGTAATTGTGCGAAATGTGCAAAAAATGCAATGAAACAATATTTGTAAAATTGCGCAAAAAAAAAAAAAGTGAGGAAATATTGTTTCATTGTATTTAGTGGTCATATGTACATACATGGGATTATAAAGATGAAATAGACCTACAGCTGTATTCAAAGATTACCGTTCATTCTGTCTCTCTCTTATAGTCTGAGAGGCCTCTGTCTCTTCATTTGAATGCCTCTCACGATGGCTAAGCGGGAAAGCGGCAGCACCAGCCCAGTGGTGCGTCAAATAGACAAGCAGTTCCTGATGTGTAGCATCTGTCTGGAGCACTACCACAATCCCAAAGTCCTGCCCTGCCTGCACACCTTCTGTGAAAGGTATCTCAATAGAAAGTCCCTTGTGCATGAATGAACAAATTATTACAATCACGCAATCATAGCCTGAATGCTGCTTTCACAGTATGCTAAAGACTGTCTGTGTTCACTGGTGTGGAAGAAATCTGATAAATGCTGGCCAAAACACTGCCGCTTTAGGGGTGGGTGTGTCTGTAAAATCACAGCAGTCTGGTTGTCTTGAAGATGATCCAGTGTTGGGAGTAACTAACTGAAACATAACACATGACTGTACATCTTAATTTTTTTGTAATATTGTATTATAGCAGAGCGAACTAAGGTCAAGTCAAGTCACCTTTATTTGCGCTTTATACAATACTGATTGTGTCAAAGTAACTTTACAGTGTCAAACAGCAAAATAGTTTGTCAATAATGCAAGAAGACAAAGAGTCATTTTTCCAGCTAAAGTCAGTAATAATCCAACATGGTTGTCTGTCCACCCGCTCTCATATTAAACATTTGGGAATTTTATTAATTTTAGTGAAACGGTTCAGTCCCCATCCAAATGCTATTTTAGGTCTTTTTTGATAGCCATATATAAAATAATATCTTGAATAATTTTACAAAATTAAATCATAATTATTAAATTAAATTAAATTATGAAATTTAATTACATTAAATTTAATTCGTGTCATTTTAATATGCTGATTTGATGCTCAAGAAACATTTTTTATTATTATCAATGTTGAAAACATTTGTGCAGCTTAATATTTTTGTGGAAACAGCGATAATTTTTTTTCTTTGATTAATAGAAAATTCGAAATAGTTCATTTGAAATAGAAATATTTTGTAACATTATAAATGTCTTTACTCTCACTTTTGATCAATGTAATGCATTGTTGCTAAATAAAGATATGAATTAATTTAAAAAAATCTTACTGACCCCAAGATTTGGAATGGTGGTGTTGTATAAAGAAATGTGTTGCAAATTTTTAAATGCTTGTTTTTTTTGTTTTACCCTTGTCATGGACTTTCAATATGAAACTACATCATAAAATGTTGAATTATTACTTTTTTTTTTTTTACTGGAGGACATATTTCAGATAAAATATGACGTGATCAAAAATCTATGTAAATATTACTAGAATATTTTTACTGTGCATCATTTCTAATCAGACTGTGTTATGTAATTGTGCGAAATGTGCAAAAAATGCAATGAAACAATATTTGTAAAATTGCGCAAAAAAAAAAAAAGTGAGGAAATATTGTTTCATTGTATTTAGTGGTCATATGTACATACATGGGATTTTAAAGATGAAATAGACCTACAGCTGTATTCAAAGATTACCGTTCATTCTGTCTCTCTCTTATAGTCTGAGAGGCCTCTGTCTCTTCATTTGAATGCCTCTCACGATGGCTAAGCGGGAAAGCGGCAGCACCAGCCCAGTGGTGCGTCAAATAGACAAGCAGTTCCTGATGTGTAGCATCTGTCTGGAGCACTACCACAATCCCAAAGTCCTGCCCTGCCTGCACACCTTCTGTGAAAGGTATCTCAATAGAAAGTCCCTTGTGCATGAATGAACAAATTATTACAATCACGCAATCATAGCCTGAATGCTGCTTTCACAGTATGCTAAAGACTGTCTGTGTTCACTGGTGTGGAAGAAATCTGATAAATGCTGGCCAAAACACTGCCGCTTTAGGGGTGGGTGTGTCTGTAAAATCACAGCAGTCTGGTTGTCTTGAAGATGATCCAGTGTTGGGAGTAACTAACTGAAACATAACACATGACTGTACATCTTAATTTTTTTGTAATATTGTATTATAGCAGAGCGAACTAAGGTCAAGTCAAGTCACCTTTATTTGCGCTTTATACAATACTGATTGTGTCAAATGTGCAGCCAAAGGCAGAACAGTTAGCATGTTTTGCTCAAACTTATGCCATGGCATTACACCGTTGTCACTTGCTAAATCAAAATGACGGTGCCATGGGTGGAAACTTAGAGATTAAGGGGCGGTAATATTATAATGAGATCCCTTTGCCACGTCACCAAGGGAGCGAAATCAGACGCGCTCGTTTTTTCAGACGCTTGCAGAAAAAGTCTTACCAAAACAAAGTACTGGATTAATCTTTTTCACGTTTCCTTGGTTGGTAGATGCACCGGGGACCTGATTATAGCACTTAAAACTTGGAAAAGTCAGATTTTCATGATATGTCACCTTTAAATAAAAAATACAATTATTCAATAATACCGTAATTCAATTATAATAAAAAAATTGATGTCTGAATACGCATAGTCAAATTAACACACTGTTTTGTTTAATGCTGCCACAGTCTAGCCATATTGAGATAAGATTTACATAATTATTATAATATAATAATTGTTAAATTAAAATATAAAATTTTTAATTAATTAAATAATAATAAAATAAAGAAAACAAACTATATTTCTGAATTGTCAGAGTACACATTCAGTGTGAATTTAATACACTTTTTTTTTTTTTAAATCCTGGCTGCCTCCCATTGTTTTTAGCCTCTCATTTCCATAAGTTCAACATTCAACACTCTCACCACTTGGTCTGATTTGTTGTCAACCCCACAATCCTCTGTGCAGGTCTGCTGCTCAGCTCCTATAGAGAATAAATTGAAAAGCCCCGCTCAGCTCCAACGTGCCAGTGAACACAGTTTGACTTCAAGCTCTTCCAGGACTTCCAATATAATGGCAAAGGAATTGCACAGATGCTGGATTTCACTTTAGAATGGCTGTCATATGAGATCATGTTTAAAAACCGCCCAGTAAGGCAAAAACAGAGATGACCATATTCCCTTTGCCATCACTGGGCTGGAATGTGAGCCTCCGTTTTTTTCCGCTTCTGTCAACAAATCATGTGTCCTGCTCTCATTTCTCTTACTTTCTATCATCCTGTCAAAATATTTACCGCTAAAATTAAAATGAGACTGAAAAATTGAACACAGACAGACCACTAGATGGATTGATCATGTCTTGGAATACGCCCGGTGCATTTACAATTAATTTGACCTTAGAGGGAAGTCTTTACCGCTTGTTTTTAAGTCTTGCACTTGTTTTTACACCCTTTCCATCACAGATGCCTCCAGAACTACATCCCCCCTCAGTCCTTGACCCTCTCCTGCCCAGTGTGCAGACAGACCTCCATCCTGCCTGAAAAGGGTGTTGCAGCACTGCAGAACAATTTCTTCATAACTAATCTGATGGAGGTGTTGCAGAGGGAGCAGGACTGCACCCGTCCCGAGGCCTCTAGTGGGCTGGAGTCAGCCGGTGCTGCTACATATGCCCCGCCCCTCTCCTGCCCCAACCATGAGGGCAAGGTAAGCTTGTACAGATGAGAATAGAGCAGTGGCCTCCTACTATGAACTACATGTATATACGCAGACATGTGGGGGATAGTTCACCCAAAAAATTAAAATTCTGTCATTAATTACTCACCCTAATGTCGTTCCAAATCTGTAAGATCTTTGTTCATCTTCGGAACACAAATTAAGATATTTTTGATGAAATCCGAGAGCGTTCTTGCATAGACAGCAAGAAGAAATTGTTGAATAAAGTGATTATTTTTGTTTTCTTTCCACTCAAAAAGTTTTCTCGTAGCTTCATAAAATTACAGTTGAACCACTGATGTCACATGGACTATTTTAACGATGTTCTTACTATGTTTCTGGGGCTTGAACGTAGTAGTTCCCTTGCTGTCTATGCAGGGTCAAAAAGCTGTCGGATTTCATCAAAAATATCTTAATTTGTGTTCCGAAGATGAACGAAGATCTTACAGGTTTGGAACGACATGAGGGTGAGTAATTAATGACAGAAGTTTCATTTTTGGGTGAACTATCCCTTTAAGTGGCGATAGGAAAAGTCGCAAGTGGTATTTGCGAATTTCAAGTCGGAGATATTATAATTTGTAGTTATGTGCATATGAATAACCCGAGCAATTTCTTTACTGGCAGTGGTATTTTAGTATTATTTATATACTATCATGGTATTTATTAATATTTTGAATTAGCATAAATTTTTATATTTTCAGTTTTTTTTTCATTTTGGTTCAATTTTTGGTTCAAGTTTAGCTTCATTTTTATTTCAGTTTTAGCTTGAGTAATTTTAGTTTAAATTTTATTAATTTCAGTTAGTTGCCAAGGCTTTTTAAGTTTAAGTTATTGATCTAATATTTATATTTAATTTTATTTTACCTTTATTTTAATTTCCTAAAACTATTTTTTATATTTTAAGATAACAATAACCACACTAGTAATTTACCAGTGGAAATATTTATTAACTTATTGTAGTTATAATAGTGTATATATATATATAACACCAACATGTCAGAAAAAAATAAAATAATAAAAAACAGAATTTATATGTATTAAAATAATAATTTATTATTGACATTATTTATTATTTAAATATTATTTTATTTATGTGCATATGAATACATCAAGCAAATTTATTGTATTTATTAATATTTCAAATTAGCTTTTATTTTTATATTTTCAATTTTCAATTTAACTTTGATTTAGGTTTTAGTAATTGTGTTACATTATTTTTTTGTAATATATATTTTTCAGTTTTAGTTCCAGTAATTTTGCTAAATCATATATATATATAATTTTTTTTTTTTTCAGTTAGTTGCCAAAGCAACATTTCTTTATACATGGAATCTTTTTTTTTTTTAAGTTTAAAACTCAGATATTTAAAATACATTATTTTATTTTTATTTTATTGAACAGACATCTGCTGTAATTATAATCAGTTGCTTATGTTGTTGCAGGTGCTGCAGGCCCAACTCAATGCACTACTACAAGGGAAGGAAAACATCCAGAGCAATTGTAGCTTCACAGAGCAGGCGCTGAACCACGGCAGCCCCACTGAGGTGCTCCTGGTGCAGAAGCAGATGGGAGAGCGGATGAGTGCTCTGGCCCGCCACGCCTTCCCTGAGCAGCCCCATGAGAACGGCCACCTGGACTGTCAGGTGGAGACAGAGGGGCTGCGCCGCTCCATCCAGAACCTGGGAGTCCTGCTCACCACCAGCACCGTGGGCCACACCAGCGTGGCTACTGGAGAGGGTCTCAGACATGCTGTTGTCGGGCAAAATACCACTGTTACAGTGACCACTAAGGTTAGTGATGATGTTTAAGTTCAGTTTGAAAACATACTGTAAATTTCAGAACTGTTGAATCTAAGCGGGTTTCCTGTTGTGTCTGCTATAAGTTGCATTGAACAAGACGTTTATATAGTTATTTATAGTCCTAATTAGAGATGCGCTCATAAAAAATTCAGGTAAATAATCAATAATAAATGAATAATTATTTTTATAAATTTAGGCAATACATTATAAAATTATTTTATAACATTACATGTCTTTAAATATTTTTAAATATATAAAAATACAATTAAAAGTGTATAAATGTATATATTTAATATTATAATAAATGTATTACTTATGTTCATAGATTAAATTTTAATCGTTGTGTATTTTTGTTATTGAAATTTATGAAAATATTTATTTATTTATTATTAACAAATTATTTATTATTTAAATATTATTTAAAACATCTAAACATTGTTCATGAAAATGAATTACACAGATATGTGATTAAAAAGTATTACATTTATTAAATAAACACATTTATTGTTTCATTTATTTTATTTTATTTATATCACTTTTATATGTTAATTAAAATATAATGTTTTTATATATTTTTTTTATTATATTTTTTATTTTATTACTTTAAATTTACTTTAAATTTATTAAAATATGAAATACTATGTGTATATGTATATATATACACTACCGCTCAAAAGTTTGGGATCAGTAAGACTTGTAATGTTTTTTAAAGAAGTCTCTTATGCTATTGATTTTAAAAAAAAAAATAAAAAATATATAATAAAAATGTATAAAATTATATGTAATTTACTTAAGAGATTAACAGTTTTATTGATTATATATATTTTTTTTTTTTAATTACTATCTAATGTTGTAGGTTTGATCTATAAAAAACACCATTGTGCCCTTGAGCAAGATAAAAAGCACATGTTGTTTTCAGACAGACTGTCCTTGTAATAAATGCTGTAGGTTGATTAGGTTTGTAACTTAAGCCTCTAACTGCCTTCACTAGGACAAAGACGGTGAGCTAGTAAAGACTGGAAATGCTGCACTGAGGGCTCAGATCAGTGGTGCAGATGGAACCGTCACCGAAACGGACATAACAGACAACAAGAACGGCACTTATGAGATCGGCTACACTCTCCGCTCAGAGGGCGAGTTCTCCTTCTCCATCCTGCTCTACGGGCAGCCCGTAAGAGGCAGCCCCTTCCGCCTGCGGGCTGTCAAACCCTGCGACGCCCCGCAGTCGCCCGATGATGTGAAGAGACGCGTGAAGTCACCCGGAGGAGGTGGAGGGGGTGGAGGACATGTGCGCCAGAAGGCGGTGCGCAGACCCTCAAGTATGTACAGTACAACGAAGAAGAAGGAGAATCCCATAGAGGATGAACTCATCTACAGAGTGGGTGAGTGGAGATTACATTTTCAGATACATTTCAGATTGTCCTAAATATATTTTAAATGTACTTTTTGTAATATATTTTGGTATTTGATGAAAATTGATTTTATAACATGAAAAATATATTTCCTTAATCGGCAAGATTTACAACATATATTTAGCATACAGTATATTTGAATTATATTTTGGTCAGAAAAATTTATATTTTTACCATATGAGATTCCAGGCTATGGAAATGTATAAAATCTAAAAAACTTCAATGTCACTGGAATTATTCATTTAATAATGCAATAAAGTTGAGCTATAAAGATGAAAAGGTCATGTCTGCATTCTGCTTTATTATTGTTCTGCATCATAATGTGTCAGCTGACGTCTTATTTGATGTGACAGGGACGAGGGGTCGCGAGCGGGGGGAATTCTCCAACCTGCAGGGCATCTCTACCACCAGCAACGGCCGAATCGTGGTCGCTGACAGCAACAACCAGTGCATACAAGTAATACTAAGTATCCTGACGGGCGACTTTTAACAAGTAAATGTGGACCGCATGGCCAGAATCACTTATATTTGCTGCATTCTGTGATCTTCTAGGTGTTCTCTAATGATGGTCAATTCAAACTGAAGTTCGGGGTCAGAGGTCGCTCCCCTGGTCAGCTCCAGCGCCCCACTGGCATTGCAGTGGACTTGAATGGCGACATCATTGTGGCCGACTATGACAACAAGTGGCTCAGCATCTTCTCTCCAGACGGCAAGTTTAAGGTAAGTTACAGCTCTTTTATGATAGTTTTTAATAAAAAAATTTTTTTTTTAAATTATATATATATATATATATATATATACTGTTTATATAGTTCAGTAATGCCTTTTTAAAATTATCAAATTAAATTAAATTAAACATGATACCAGAAGTCATAATTTTTTATTTTTAAAGTAAAATAATATTATTTATTCATCATAAAAAATACAATAAAGCATTATGTCAGGAATTAGCTTTTAAACATCAAAAGCTTTCAATACAAAAACATGTATTTAAATACTTTCTAGACGTGCCCTTCTTATTAACATGCGATGGGGAAAAAATAGTAAAAAAAATATTATTATGATTAAATGATAAATACTATTAATTGTAAAATATTAATAATACAATATGTATATAATATAAATATATATATTTTTTTTAAAATATTATATTAAAACTAGTATGAAATGTTTCAAAAATATATTATGATTGAACTCACTTTTTCCAAGCATCATTCAGCCTTTACTAATTTATGTTGTTTGTGTTACTCCATAAATGTCTGCTACTTTGATTTGATTAATTAGTGATGTGCGAATGTGTTTCTCTTGGTTTTCTGACAGAATAAAATCGGTGCAGGTCGGCTGATGGGTCCTAAAGGAGTGGCCTTGGACAAGAATGGTCATATTATCACGGCAGACAACAAGGCCTGCTGTGTCTTCATTTTCCAATCCAATGGCAAACTGGTGACCAAATTTGGTGCCAAAGGAACATCAGAGAGGCAATTTGCAGGTAATATCTTTTATTTTGTCTTCTGATACACTGGTCTCCAGCATTTCATTCATGGCCAGATCACATTTTGATCAAATGCCTATTTTTGTCTCTCTGCAGACAAAAGCACTCCGAATACACCGACAGAGCCAAAGCAGAGTAAATCTGGTCCTGCCTTCAGTGAGTTTTTTTTTATTATTACTTTAATTTTGTGCATTTGGATAGTTATTATTGATTATTGAATGAGGTCATCTTAAAATGAAATGGGAAGCCTCGTAGGACAATTGATTATCCACATGCTGAGAGAATTTTTTTCTTTTTTGTATGTAGGTAGAGATTGCATGAATCAAGTGTTCTCTGTGTTGCTGGACATTTCCTTAGAAACATAACACGTTGAGAATGTAATGGTTGCTCTCTCTCTGTCTTTCTCCTTCTATGGACATAAGGTCCTCATTTTGTGGCCATAAACAACAAGAATGAAATTGTTGTGACAGACTTCCACAATCATTCTGTAAAGGTACGCTGAGCTCTTCTCTTTTACTATGTAAATTGTACCACATGCCATAACATATTAACATCAAACACTAACCAGATCTGTTGTCTGTTTTTATTGGGTTCTGCCTCTAATTAATGTCACTTTAAAGGGTTACTAACCCTTTAATGTAACTTTTGCTTTTACATTATCATGGTCTTTTTTTCCCTTTTTTGGTCATTTTAATGTGGATTGTTTTGGATTTATGGCTTCTTGCAGGTTTACAATGCTGATGGCGAGTTCCTGTTTAAATTTGGCTCACATGGTGAAGGGAACGGCCAGTTCAACGCACCCACCGGCGTGGCTGTAGATGGCAATGGCAATATTATTGTTGCAGACTGGGGTAACAGTAGGATACAGGTAAGCTGTGGAATGTTCTGATTTCATATTAAATGTGATTGTATAATAGTTTTATAATTTGGGCAAAGTCAAATAATTTTTTTATGTATTTTTGACATTTTATGTAATAACATTCTAAAATGATGTGGAAACTTTACAGTTTATATACAATGACTCAAGTATTTACACACTTAAGTCAGAATTCGAAATGTATGAATTCCATTGCTTTAGATAACAAAAGATCAAAACTAATAGCAGCATGATTTCTCTGAGATTTTTTTTTTTTTTTGCAATTACTCTCAGCCACCTAGCCCTATTTTATTTCATAATATTCATTTTATTTTATAACATAATTAAACATTTTTTATTTATTGAGCAGTAAATAAAAAATCTATTCCACTTTTTTTGCAATGACTTTCAGCTACCTAGCTGTGTTTTATTTCTTAATTTCATTTCATTTTTTAACATAATTATATATTTAATTTTTTTAAAATCTATTCCACTTTTCTAAGACACTTTCGTCATTACTTTCAGCCACCTAGCCCTATTTTATGTATAATTTTATTTTGTATTTAATTTGTATTTTATATAATTTTTTTGTTGACCAAAAAATTTACTTTTTGAGACATTTTTGCAACGACCTTTTATTTCATTATATTTTGTAATATAATTATATTTTTGTAATTTTTTACAACAAAAAAAAAAATCTAAAAAGTACATTCCATTTTAACCCACATAGCACTATTTTAATTTTTAATTATATATTTGTATATACTTTCAGCAATTACTTTCAGTTTTATAGTAAAATTATATTTTTTAATGAAAAAAAAATTTCACTTTATGGACATTCATTAAAAATGCTAATGGTAATAAATTAGTAAAAGTACATTTAATGCCTATATCTTTTGTCATTTAGGTGTTCGACAGTTCTGGCTCTTTTCTGTCATACATCAACACGACAGCGGATCCTTTGTACGGTCCACAGGGTCTGTCTCTCACGTCAGATGGTCATGTGGCCGTGGCAGACTCTGGAAACCACTGCTTCAAAGTCTACCGATACCTGCAGTAAAGACTCGCCGTGATGGAAGAGTTAAATATACTGTAAGCTCCAACAGTCTTCTTTGGCATTTCATGTTTTCCTTTGCACAAGTCTCTGCACACAAAATTCCAGCCATTTGACTAATGCTGATGTGAACAAACCCAGGGCTTCATGAATGTTGCATCCCTATTTGATGAATTTGCATTGATTTGTGTTAATAGTCACTTCCTAAATGAATGTACATTGAACCCAAGCAAATAACACAGTCGCTGTGTATATAACAGTGACCGAAGGCAGCTATCTGCATGCTTTTATAAAAGTCTTTATTGCAAACCTCAAATGCTGCTTGACAAACCCCTCCGTTAAATTGCAGGGAACTAAATGGTGGTCAATAAATGCTTTCTGGGCAAATCATTAATGCAACGGCTTAAGAATGACCTGCGGATGGCGCTATCTCACATCAAACTGGCCTTTTGTGCATTGACTAGCTGTACATGTGTACGCATTTGTATCATATGGTGTAAATCTGATCGCCATTGATTTGCTGTAGAATGGTTTCAGAGATCCACTCTCTCTAGTGCGCTGAAGCTCAATATTAAAGTAATCCGGCTGTCAATGTGCTTTAGTAAAACTGCTTGTAGGCCTCTGATTTTAAAAGCTACGCCTATACGTCACATGGGCTTTCTACATATCACTGAACACAACAGCACAATTTACATATTGCATGCATTTTATTCACGTAAAAAGGTTATAAAGCAAGTTTATTTATTTTGTAAACAATGGTATAATGTTATTTTTCTAAGTTGAAGTGTTTTGTTTAACTGCAGTTCAATGCCTTCGGTGGTTTTCACAAGGTGTGCAAAGCTAACGTGTTGTGAAGTACAACTTGAGTTTTTTTTTTTTTTAACGCACATGATAGTCACCATGTCATTAAAAGGAATGTGGATGTGTCATATCAAGACGCCGAAGATATGAACTTAAAAAAATAAGGGAAAATGAATTTACATTTTAAGTTGCCAAATTACGAAAAGAACAATTTGCCATAGTTGACCATATTACGGAGCATTTACTACTGTTTTTTTAATTATTTTTTATTTCGTTTTATTATGAATGTAAACAAATGAATGAAAAATAAAAAAAATCACTGCATTAGAAATGACAGTTTTATCATTCTGGCCCAGATGTTATACTACTAAGTACACAAAAGCAATGAATACTGAATCAGGAGCACATTTGTACTTTATATAGAGTCGTGATTCTGATTTTACAAATGTGTGCGAGCAAAAGCCAGTGTCTTTTAAGCCACAAAATACAGTATTCTGTAATAAAACTGTACAGTGTATAACAACAACGGAACACGTGAAGCATTTGAAACAGTATTTAACTGCAATAATGAATCTTGAATATTTGTCAGAAATGTAGCATCTCTAAAAGTACCCCTAAAAAGAGTACCCATGATTTATGATGAAGAAAAGTACATACAGTAGTTTATACAGAAAAGTTAAAGGTCGTCATGTCAAAGAGATTTTTGTAATCAAATTCTTCCCATTTGACTATGTAACAGAATGAAGGGTAACTTGAAGCTACTGTATTGCCAATACACATGAAAAACTGAATTGAAATGCTTCAGACTCTAGTTTCCAATGTACCAAACAACTGTAACGGTCTCTTTATATGTCAGTATGCACCAGAAATAAAAGCACTTGATTTACCGAGCCAAATAATAATGATGTAAGTGGTTATTTTCCATCTTGACTTCTAAATGTCACAGCGTTTGATGGGGTGTTGCTTTATAAATTCATTAAGAAGATGGCAGGCAGAGCGATTTATGGTTGCCTTGCAGTTCTTTTCTTCTGGTATCCTCTCGATCCACATGTCATTGTTCAGCACATACCTGAAACTTCAGAAACAACAGAAGAAAAATGTTTTACAAATCAAAAAATAGCAATTTGCGTTCCTTTTTGTCTTTTTAATAAACATCAGATCTCAAGGCTTACTGTTGTCCGTCGTTATTGAGCACTGATATTGCGTCGTTCTGCCCCATGATCAGATAGTGGGCTTCATTTTTCAGCTCCAGTTCGTCACAAGATAAGCGCAGTATCATCTGACGTGTGGCATGTTTCTGAATACCAGAATCCAACAACCCTTCAACAGGAAAAGTGTTCATATATTATTTATGCAGTAACAATTTACAATAAGGTTCTATGTTAACAGCATTAATTAGTGCATTAGGTTATGTATTAGGTACTTTATAGAATCCATAACATTTACATTTATTAATTTATTAGACAATTTTATCCAAAGTGACTTTCAAATGAGGGAAAATGTACAGTCAGTTGGCAATGACTGTTTATTTTCAAATAATGACCAGCTGATTGTACACTATATTCCCCATATCCCATATGGCAAGAAACATATTTTCTGGCCAAAATATGATTTAAATATATAGCATTTATTTAGTTTAAACCCTCATATACCAATACATATTTCAGAATGTATTTCAGAGGCCAGAAAATGTCTAGGCTAAATGCAAATGTGGATGGAATAGCCTACTAGAGATCAAAACTATAATTATTTAATGTTTTATATATATATATATATATATATTAGTAATTTTTTATGGAGGGCAAAATACATTTGAAATGTTTTTAAAAATATTTTTATATTTTTTAAATATATTTTCAAAAATATACAAAAATGGCCAAAATAAAATGTCTACCAATATAATTACAGATATATTTTGAAACATATTTTAGAAAATATGTATTTTTGGCTTTTTTTCAACCATTGTACCCCATACAGCAAAATGACTAAAAATATTTCATTTGTATTATATTTTATTATTTTATAAGCTTATTTTATAATATACTTTTTGCTATGTCCTTGCATGTTATAGACAAATGTTTTTTTTTGTTTGTTTTTTTTTCAAATGTGACTTACATTAATGTATTTCTTTCTATTGAAATATAGAGCAAAACATATTTTGTAATTTATAAATATATTAATATTTTAACATATTTTCAAAAATATACTAAACATAGCCAAAATATGTTGCTAGGAAACATATTTTTACAAATATATTTTTAGGTGTGTTTTTTTTTTTGTATATTTTGAAATATACTTTAAAATATACGTCGATGAGAATTACTGGTTTAAATTTAAATAATTTAATAATTTTACCTGTATATTACCGGTATCTTAAAAACTCCACTAAGGGAAAGAAAGCCATTACAACAGTAATGCTGTATTAATACAGTAATATTAATACTGAAGTTCTCTGTCATTTTCACTATGAAAAGGAGGCATAGGAAATTTTGATAGGAGAGACACGAAAATAGCACAAAATAATTTCATGCTGATCAAATCATTAATATTATTTATTTTCTTTATATTATTATTATACAGTAAATTTTTGACTGCTGGATGGCGTGATTCACCCATCAAAATCAAGTATTCAAAACAGCAGTATAATAACTAATATAACTTTAATTAACTTACACAACCTAACGATAGCATTTCATTTTAAATGTAAAAATACTAACTCACCAGTCTGAAGAACGTCAGTGATTAATGTGGTGTAGTACATAAAAACGTCATCAGTGCTTGAGTTGAGAATTTTGATCACATAGGCTATAGGAAAAAGAACATATTTAAAATATTAATAAGTTTAGACCAACATATTTGTACATTATTTGCTTTTAGTTTCTCACCATAGTCAACACCAGGACTGTAACATGCATAACTACTCCGGGTGTTGTGTTTCATATCCTTGCTGAAGGTGACTTTCAGCCTGGGACATCCTCCTGAAAATAAGTGCAAAATATAATATATAAATCTTAAGCTTTTGGATATGTAAATAAATATATTTCACAGCACACTAGAGTTTTTCCCACCTTCTGCACATGTACACAAATCCCCGTTACAAAGTTTGGAGATCATTGGGCTTTTGTGAGGGGCTGTATAGAATATGCCACATCTCTTTTCTGTGTAACACATTGAATAGCATTAGTCAGTGTTCACCACTCAGAAGTGTTGTCATCAAAGTGTTTGGTTCATAGAGTTTGACGACCTGGGCTGTAATAGTCATAAATGACAGCAGAAGCAGGTTGGACAAGGCCCATGGGAACAACCTGCTCAGCACCAAACTGAAGACACTCCTCGGTTTCGGTGATCTGTTGACATGAACCATGCAATCAAATCATTTGTGTGTTTCTGCTTGATCTGTTGCATAAATACTGATGAGCCAGTTTAACTACTTTATAGCACTTTTTAAATTCAGCAGTAAAGGAAAACTGAAAACGAAGCAAACCATATACCAAGAGGATATATCAGATTCATGGAATACTTCAAGAGAGAAACACTTCTGTTACCTTTGCAAAATAAAGAAAGACTTTATTATGATGGACTTCATAGTGATCAATGTACCTCTCTGTGCCCTTTACATTCTGTGAAATGAAAGAAAAAAGAAATTCTTAGAAAAGAAACACATTCAAATGTTAAATGTTAATTAATTTGTTACATATATGTATCATCTGCAACAAAACAAAGCCAGGAAATTACATTTGGTGATACCATGGCATAGTGATGGTATCAGATGGTAATAGCATGGTACTTTGATAAATGCTACCTTCCAAAATATGGTGCTTAATGTAAGAGGATACATTTTTTTAAGTTTGGACTACATTTGCAACCCTATTACTCATATTCATTTTTTTTTATTGATTTTATATTTTGTATTTATTTTATTATGTCTTATTTTGTATTTAAATTTATTAATATTTATTTTATTTTTATTTGTTATTTTGATGCTTAATGCTTATTCATAAAAATAGCATGCTACTTACAATGTAACGAGAAGAGAGAGAGAGAGAGAGAGAATTAGATTTATATAGAATTGTTTAAAAAAAAATGCATATGCACATGTTCCAAATCTTTGGCGTTTGGTATAAGTCCGCTTAGAAGTGAGATTTCCACCATGACCATGCCCACAGTATTCTTCTTTTTCATGCTGTATGAAAACAGAAAATAAAAAAATTGTTGATTTCAGAGAGGCCAAACAAGTAATCATGATTCTGCTATGATTTGTATAACAAATCAATCATTTAAATACATAAAAAGCCTGTTTACTGTGCTCACCCCACACACACTGTGTATATGACTGAACTCTCTCTCTTTGGCTCCTCTGAGATTTGTCTTTTTCTGCGGTTGCGAAGATCAAACCATTCTATGCTGCTCATGGGCTCATCTTTTTGATCTTCATCGACGTCATAATTGTAATAGTCCTCAAACATTTCTTCTTTATTGTATATTTCTAGAGAAGAGCATATTGACTTTTAGTCTGATGATATCTACGGTCAAATATTATTATATTTTTAATGTTTGCTCCTCCTCCTCACCACCTTAGTGCACCCTCGCTCAAATATTACAACTGTGTAACTCTCATTGACTTTTTAATCTTCAATATCCTGTTTGGCAGTACAATTGGTATATACTTTTTATATAAAGTGTATACATTGCAGTGCACTCAATTCCTATTTAATTTATTGTTTAGAGTGACCTCTTCCATGATATTTTACTTACTGTATTCCAGCTCTCCTTTCACTGTAACGCTAAGGTGAAATAGATCACAGTGTGATTCATCCTTCTTCATAGTTCTATATGTCTGCACAACCTGTAACAAGCAAAATGTCATTCAAAACACTATAAACTGAAACATTACAGATCAACAATTAATTAAACTGGGGGGAAAAAAAGTCTTACTGCTAATGTTCCACGTCCTGTTCCCTGAACATTTAGTGAAACTTTACCAACATTTCTGACCTGTGTGAACAAGTGCACATATAGTCTTCTACTTGTTATAGCATACATTAGCATACTTTATCACATATTTAATATCAAATGTTTTTTATTTCTAGTAACTTGAAGGTGGAATTAGTGGGAGGGGCTTACTCACTGAACAGAGGATTTGATTGGACAAAAAATATGGGCAGTAGTTTCCAGATTGTAAATATATACGTTTGTCAACATTTAGGAATATACTAGAACTGTTTTAAGTAATTTTTCTTACCTTAACAGCTGTTGCAGTGAGTGCATTATATTTAGTCAAGTGTAAATCTTGTTTTTGGCCATTTTCAAGGCACATTTCTACCCTCAGATTCAAGTCTTCTACATCATTGTTCTGCATGCTGTATTTCGCCAGAGCCTCAAGGGCCAC